AAGGTCGGCGATGCGTCTGCGTTCCGTGTCTGGGGATCTCGGGCGTTTGTCCGCGACTTGTCTGCGGACAAGCTGTCCCCTCGTGCTGCTCCCTGTGTCTTCCTCGGCTTCCCCCCTGACGCCCCAGGGTGGCAGTTCTACCACCCCTCCTCTCGTCGTGTTCTGTCCTCCCAGGACGTCACGTTCGACGAGTCAGTCCCCTTCTACCGCCTCTTCCCCTACCGCACTCCTTCCCTCCCCCCGCCACCGCACTTCCTTGTGCCAGGTCCCCCCCCGGTAGACCCCCTTCCCCCTCAGGGTCCTGCCCCTTCAGGTGTGTCCCAGGTAGACGCAGTCGAGCCGGTCGAGGTTGCTGGTGACTCTGGTCCTGCTGCGGGTGCTGAGCCTGGGGGTGCTGACTCTGGGGGTGCTACGCGCGTGGGTGCTGAGCCTGGGGGTGCTGAGCCTGGGGGTGCTGAGTCTGGGGGTGCTGAGCCTGGGGGTACTGCGACTGGGGGTGCTGAGCCTGGGGGTGCGGAGTCTGGGGGTGCTGAGCCTGGGGGTGCTGCGACTGGGGGTGCTGAGCCAGGGGGTGCTGCGTCTGGAGCTGCTGAGCCTGGAGCTGCGGAGCCTGCGGCCACTGGACCTCCCCTTGTGGCGTCTGGCGGTGCGGGACCTGGCGGTTCTCCGGGTGCTTCGCCTCGGCGGGAGCCCCTCTCTCCACAGGAGCTGCGCGAGTGGTTTGCTCGCCGCTGGAGACGTACTGCTGGAGCTGGAGCTCCTTCGGCTGCTGAGGGTACTTGTGTCGCTGGTCCCGGAGCTGCTGGGCCCTCGGGTCCGCCTGGAGCTGGAGCTGCTGCGGGTGTTGGTGCTGAGACTGCTGCTGTCCTTCCTGGCGGTGGTCCTGCTGCGGGTGCTGCTGGTGCTGCTGGAGGTCCTGCCGCTGGAGGTGCTGTTGGCGCTGGTGCTGCTGCTGAGGGTGCTGTCCCTGCTGTGTCTGGAGTCGCCGCGCGGCCTCGGCCGTACTTCGTTCCACTCCTACAGCATGTTCTTGGTCTTTCTCCTCCTGCAGCGTGTCCACCGCCTGTTCAGTCACAGTCCCAGTTAGAGCCCGCCTCCCCACTTCCTGCTCCCTCTCCTTACACTGGTCCCACTGGAGGTCTTGCTGAGCGTCGTGAGCCTGCGTCTCGTCCTGCGTCGCCTGTTCGTGCTGCTCGCGCTAGTGGTCGCGGTTCGCGTCAGCGTCCTCCTCCTGTCCCTGGCACGCACCGGATGTCTTTGCGTCCGTCCACTGCTCCTCTGCGTGCCCCTTTGCCTTCTCCTCCTGAGTCCTCCCTTCCTGCACTTACCGACCCAGAGTCCGACTCTCTTCATGCTGCTAGTCCTACTGTCACACGTCTCCTTGCTACTGTCGTCACTGACCCCTCTTTTGAATCCACTGCTGCGTCTGCGCTTGTTGCTGAGCTCGTCGACTTTGCTGCTCGCTGTCGTCTAGACTACGCTGCCGGTCTTGTTGCTGAGTCTGCGTCTGTCTGTCCTCCGTCCGTCGGGGGTGAGTGTGCTCTTGGCACGGACGTCCTTGAGGACAGGCAGGAGGAGTTCCAGTGTCTGGCTGCTGCTTCACCTCATCTCGCGTCCGTACTACTTGCCCCTGAGGGAGACCCGGATGCACTAGACATCCCGACTCCGCGCTCTTACGCGGAGGCCGTAGAGGGTCCCTACTCCTCTCAGTGGCAGGCAGCTATGGATGCAGAGATGGCGTCCTGGAAGTCCACAGGCACCTACGTTGACGCGGTGCCCCCTCCTGGGGCGAACATCGTCAGTGGCATGTGGATCTTCAGGGTGAAGCGGCCGCCGGGCTCTCCACCTGTCTTCAAGGCGCGGTACGTCGCTCGTGGCTTCAGTCAGCGGCAGGGAGTTGACTACTTTCAGACCTTCTCTCCCACCCCGAAGATGACCACTCTTCGGGTGCTGCTGCACATAGCCGCTCAGCGCGACTACGAGCTCCACTCTCTTGACTTCAGCACTGCTTTCTTGCAGGGTAGCCTGCACGAGGAGATCTGGCTGCGCCGTCCACCTGGCTTCACTGGGACTTTCCCTCCTGGCACCCAGTGGAGCCTCCGACGGCCAGTCTACGGTCTCCGCCAGGCACCGCGTAAGTGGCACGACACACTGAGGACTACGCTTGCGGCTCTTGGGTTTGCTCCCTCTACTGCTGACCCGTCGTTGTTTCTGCGCACCGACACTTCTTTGCCGCCGTTCTACATCCTCGTGTACGTCGACGACTTGGTCTTTGCCACAGCTGACACTGCTGGACTAGCCTACGTGAAGTCCGAGCTGCAGAAGAGACACACGTGCACAGACCTGGGTGAACTGCGCAGCTACCTTGGCTTGCAGATCACTCGGGACAGAGCACGCCGCACCATTACCTTGACTCAGTCACACATGGTGCAGCAGGTCCTTCAGCGCTTCGGCTTCACGTACTCCTCGCCTCATGCCACTCCTCTGTCTACTCGCCACTCGCTCTCAGCTCTGCCTTCGGATGAGTCCGTAGAGTCGAGTGGCCCGTACCCAGAGCTTGTTGGCTGCCTCATGTACCTGATGACCTGCACACGACCTGACCTTGCATACCCTCTTAGCATTCTTGCACGCTATGTTGCTCCTGGGAGACACCGACCAGAGCACATGGCTGCAGCGAAGAGGGTGTTGCGCTACTTGTGCAGTACGTCGGGCATGGGGCTAGTGCTTGGAGGGCGGAGTCCAGTGGTCCTCACTGGGCACGCGGACGCTTCTTGGGCTGACGACCAGGCTACGCAGCGGTCGTCGCAGGGTTACACCTTCAGACTTGGTTCCGGCTCTGTCTCGTGGCGGGCTACTCGCTCGTCCTCTTTTCTCGGCTCCAGTTGTGAGGCTGAGATCTACGCCGGGGCCATGGCTGCACAGGAGCTTCGCTGGCTCACCTACCTGCTGACTGACCTTGGAGAGCAGCCTCGTTCTCCTCCAGTGCTGTACGTAGACAACAAGGCCATGCTGGCCTTGTGTCGAGAGCAGCGCTTGGAGCACAGAACGAAGCACATTGCTCTCCGTTACTTTCTTGCTCGTGAGCTGCAGCAGCGTGGTCAGTTGCGACTTGCGTACGTGGCCTCTGAGGCCAACACTGCTGATGTGTTCACCAAGGCACTTGCGCCTTGTGACCATCAGCGATTCTGCACTCAGTTGGGTCTTGTACCTGTCTTGCCTCACTTGCTCTCCTCTTGACCTTGCTTGTACTGTCACATATATATACCTGCTCTTGCTTGTCTAGCTCTATATATATATATGTGTCCTCCTGCATGTGAACTGGCCTTGTGGCCTTGTCGTTGTGCTCGGACTGTGTGGTGACTTTGTGATCCACCCTGAGCTTGCTGTGCTTTGCGTGACTGGTCTTGTGACCCCTTGTTCTCCCCCACTTTGCCTATGGGGGTGTGTCAGAACATTATATAGCTTATGCTGTTGTGTAGGCTATAGTGGGGTATCCCATAGGGGGTACAACCCAATTAGGGTTTCCTATATGTACTCACTTCATTCATAGTTCATTCATTCGCGTTCTCCTTTTCACACGTTCCGCGGTGGTTGGGGTGTGGGGTGGCGAGCATGGGGGTGACTGGTGTGGGTAACCTGAAGCTCCTCCTCCTCCTCCGTCTCCCACTGCTGCAGCTGCCGCTGAGGGGGGTGGGTGTGTGGGAGCCGAGGGTTTAGGGTTTATGGGGGTGAAGTGGGAGTAGAGCTAGGGGTGAAACTGGGGGTGTGTGTAGGGGGGTGTGGGACAGTTGGGGGAGGTTGAGTGGAGGCAGCCGTCGTGTCGTCCGCAGCGCCTGTATTCCGGGGCCCTTGTCGCCGGTAGCTCAGAGAGCCTGCTGCACCTGTTGCCCGTGGGTCCGTTGCTCCTGCCGCTCGTCGTAGCCGCAGAGCCTGTTACTCCTGTATTTCAGGGCCCTTGCTCCTGATAGCCACTGAGAGCCTGCTGCACCAGTCGCCCGTGGGTCCGTTGCTTCTGCCGCTCGTCGTAGCCGCAGAGCCAGTTACTCCAGTAGTCCGGGGCCCTTGCCTCGGTAGCCACTGTGTCAGCCGCCACTGTGTCAGCCGCTTCTGTTGCCCGTGTGTCTGCAGCTTCAGTCGTCGCCTCCCATCTTCTCTCCTCTCACAGTCCCTCCTCCTCCTCACTTGCCCTCTGTGATAGCCTCTAGCTTTGCTGATAATTGTGAACTTTTGCACTGCCTGTTCATTGTGCTGATTACACCCCACTTTGGCTATGGGGGTGTGTCAGAATATGTTGTTTGTGTAGCCTGCAGTGGGGTACTCAATAGTGAGTACAACCCCTTAGGGATTGCTATTTGTATCCTGCTGCTTGCTAGTCCAATCATTCCCTTTCTCAATTCTGTTCCTGCACACAACTCTCGCTCTCACTTGACGCTTCCTTTCGTAGTTCTACTAAGGCCTAGGCTTCTAAGCCTAGGCCCTCCTCCTAGTATATTTGACAAAAGTTCGAACTTTGGCAAAAGTTGGCCCCCATGGACACACGCCCTTAGGGGATCGATTCCCCAATATCGACCCGCCACCGTACTGATTTACGCGTTTTGCATCCACAACTCTCAGAACCTTTTAGAACCCCGTCAAAAGACGACCCTGAGAACGATCGATCGCCCCATCTGATCGCCATGTGACGAGTGTGGTTGATTCGAAATAATTGCGCGACGCGTCCGTTTTCAAAATTTCCTCAATCCTGTGGAGTACCCTCGCACCACGTTCCCCCCTTTCTGATATCTCTCAATCCCGTGGAGTTCCACTTGTTTCACGCCGTGGAGGGATGGGAGGAGCGCCATGGGCTGGGCGACAGCAGCCTTCTTCAGCTCGTCGCGCGACCCGGCGCCAGCAGCAGCGGGTTCGGCGGAGACGCTAACTGCGAGAGTTGCTGGCGAGGCGGCGGGTGTTGCGGGACCGAACAGTCGTCGGGGGGAAAGGCGACAAGTCTGAGAGGCGTTATGTCCGCCGCCGCCAAGGCGGCAACGACGTCCGTCGTGGCGCCTCGTGGGGTCTCACGACGCAAGGAGGCAAAGGCGGCGCGGGGAGGAGTAGACGGTGCAGAGCAACGCGATGCTGCAGCGGACATTTTAAACGACGGTGGCGACTCTACGGAAGGGGACCACTACAATAACGTTACGCTTGCGGGGAGAGGCGAGGAGGACGGCAAGGGGCGCACGGGGGCGAGGCAGTCTGAGCGAGCAGGGAGTGATGGCAGCGGCGATGGCAGCAGCCTCGGGAGGCACAGGGCCGTGCTGCCACACAGTTCGCCGAGAGCCTTGCATGTGAACGGCGCTTCTCCGCGTGCAATTGGGCGCGGCGCCACGTGGAGCACCGGCAGCCACTCCATTAGTAGAGGCGGTGGCGGTGGTGGGAGGAATGATTGGGCGGGTGTGGAAAGCAGTCGAACCTTCGCGAAGTCTCACAGCGTCAAGGACGGTAGCGGATTAGGTCAAATTGAAACTTATTCCGCTGGCAACCCGCTCTCGCCGCCTCCTGGCTATCGATGCTCGCAGTCCATGGGGCGTAGTGACGTCCGTGCTACTAAGAGCGTCGGTCCACGGCGAAGCCTTGCATCTGGCTGGGTTGCTTTGAATGATGCAGGCTATAACAGGGGAGGCAATCAGGTTGGCGAACTGACGAACGCGGAAACAAATTACACTGGCGAAATCGGCGAATTGGGCGACAGCGACGATTTGAGCAGTGTAGTGAGGAGCAATTCAGAGCACCATCACACGTGGAACCATGGTTGGTTTGAACTCAGTTCGTCCTTCAGCAGGAAAGGCAACTCCTCGACCACGCCCACTTCCGCCACACCCACCTCCACCGCATCCACCTCCACCACTCCCACCCCCAGCAAGGGCATAAAGCTTGCCTGGGCCGGCCTAGATTCCATATTTCACAGTGGGCCCTCCATAATGCGGCGCAGCAGGTCGGTGCGGGACGGAGACGACGAGCATCACATGATGAGAACCCGCAACCAGGGCTTGCATCGCCGGGCTGCAGGAGGTGATAGTCATGGGGATAGGGGTTCTCCTCCCTCCCTTGACCTGGGCGCTGCTGCTGCTGACAGTGTGGTTAGTTGCTATGGTGGGCTGAGAGGCCATAGATCGGACAGGCTGGCAGTGCAAGGGGAGGGATGGGAGGAGGATGAGAAAAAACGGTCCGAGTCTGGGCATGGCAGCAGGTTGCTCTTCACACCGCCTATGGTTCGGTCAAGGACCGATCCTAGAAGCGTGGAAGCAGACCAAGTAAGGTTTGGCCCGGACTTAAGCAGAAGTGGTTATCATCAAGAATCAAGCAGGGGGGGGGGTTGGTCCCGACCGAAGGGGTGTGTCCCCGAGTGGCGGTGCTCATGGTGCTGCCAGCCCAGACTCTCCTTCCGAGCATGCGCCTGGCCTCACTCGCCGATGGAGCATCACCACCCGCATCTCCTTCAAGCACCTGTGGGGCCACAGCGGCCGGGATGTGTTTTCGTCCTCGCCACATCGCAGTAGCGCCAGCAACCGCCACTCGAAGCATGGTCAGAGCGCTCACCATGCACATGGGTGGGGTGGCTTGGGCGCACAGCAACATGTGGAGGGTGAGATGCCATGGCAGCAGCAGGACCATACCATGCACCCGCGCACTTCCCATGCTTCGAACGCTTCCCACTCGTCCACGCCCTCCAGAATAGGCCGCAGTGTGTCGTATGAGGACCCAGCAGGTCAGCGGACAGTACTTGTGAGAGATGGATCGCCGAATCTAAGGAAGCGGGTCTTTGCAAAGAGGTTGTCGCACAAGGCCCAACGGGGGAGTAGTGCCAGTGCAGCGCCCCAATAGCACTGAAGCTTTGGACCGAAAGAAGTGGAATATGAATTGGGATGGTCAAGTGGTGATTAGGACTGTACCTGACAAATCTAATCACACTAGAAGCAAAAAACAAAACAAAACACCTGCCACCCTGCCAACCCACAAGAACCAGAAGTGAAACCAGGGTTTCGTTTAGAAGTGTTGAAAGGGACTTGGTCGTGGAGTGGGCTAAGGGAGAAAACTTGACGAGGCAAGGTCGCCCTTATGACTGCTCGTTGCCTCTCCTTGTTGTACCGTATTTCTTGGATATTTTATACTTCCACCGATTTCAAGCGAGTTTATGGACTCCGCAACTTTCTGTCAAATGTTATACATTATCTTTCTGAACTTAGGATATTAGGAGATTTGGAGCTAAGGAGAGCATGGCAATGGTATCGAGAGGGTTGAGAAGGAGATTGGCCAAAGAGGATGTTGATATTATGCAAGAGTATAAGATATAGGAGAGGGAAGATGCTAGGCAAGACAAATGGGTACACCACCAGCAATAGGTTCTAATAACTAACTAATACACTAGCAGCAAGCTGTAGGCAGTTATAAATAGGATATGCAATATAATTTAACATAGTGAGTAGGGCTGTAGAGAGTACAACGCTTTCTAGGGTTAGTATTTGTATCTCCTATCTTGCTAGTCACACATATTCAGTAGTTCTATCTTTGAGATGATATCACGAGTAGGTAACGTTCCGAGCCTAGCCAGCCCGCCCCGCCCCGTTCCCTAGGCTAGCCCGCCCCGTCCCGTTCCTTCGCGGGCCGCGCCCTGCCCCGCCCCGCACGTAGCCAGCTGCGCACAGCGCACTGCCCCGTCCCGCCCGTACCCATGTGCTGCCCGCCTCGTGCTTCCCGGCCCGCGCTACACGCCCCGTTCCGCGCAGCCCGGCCCGCGCTACCCGCCCCGTTCCACGCAGCCCGCCCAGCGCTACCCGCCCTGCGCGCTGCCCGCCTCGTGCTGCCCGGCCCGCACTACCCGCCCCGTTCCGCGCTGCCCGCCCCACTCTACCCGCCCCGTCCCGTCAATAGCAGCAGCTATTGGCTCCCCGCGCAGCAGCAACTGCGCGCGCAACAAGCAGCTGCACGCGCCTGCCACCCCGCGCGCAACAGCGGCCGCACGCACAGCGGCAACCGCTAGCGCAACTGCACCTACCGCGCGCACAGCTGCAGCACCCTTCCACGCCCCTTCAGCAGCACACCTACAGTTTTGCACACAGTGCTAGCGGCACCCGTCACCCCACTAGTTCCCGCTGTCCTTCACGCGCCTGCTGCCATATGCATTCCCCGCGGCGGCTGGCAACCGCAGTCGACCTTCCTAGGGCAGTTTAGGGTTAGTGCCTCTCCGTGCCTGGCGTCCCTAGACTGGCCCTTCTGGCTCTACTCACCACTCGCTCCGGCTTTACCTAGACTCGCCCCTCTGGCTGTGCTCGTCTCGAGCTCCGTTCGTTCGTAGACCCGTTTCTTCTGGCGTCGTACGCCCTTTGTTCATTTCTAGCTCTGACCACCCCTATCCTTGCGCTCCTAGACCAGTAGCCCTCTCGTTATGGCGTCCACTTGAGTCCCGCGTTTTGATGCAGAGTGTAGAACCCTAAACTTCCCCTCTTGGCTCCTCCCTGGTGACCTGCCTTCACCTACGCCACCTGCTGCCCTGCCTACTGAGCCTACTGACGCAGACAGGGAGCGCTTCGACAAGGCCCATTCAGCTCTGTCGGTGTGGCATTCTCGTGATGTGGCGGCTTGCATTGCACTCGGTAGCCTTCTCCCTGAGTCTGAGGAGGCTCACTTCACCCAGGTTCGATCTTCCCAGGACTTGTTCGCTGCGATTAAAACCCGTTACTCCACTCCCTCCTCCGCCTCTCTTGGCCGCCTCTTCATGACGTTTCTGTTTCCTGACCTAGGAGCGTGCTGACCTTATTACCCACCTGCGCTCGCTCGACGTCAGCTACTGTGCTGCTTGTACTGAGGCTGAGCTTGCACTACTCTTCCCACCCATGGCAATTACTATTCACTCCATCGTCACTAGCCTCCCTGACCGCCTTCCACCTGTCCGTGACGCGCTTCTTCGGAAGCACCCTAGTGCGCTCACTATCGACGTCCTCGAGATAGCTCTCAAGGACATCGAGAACAACATCTGCTCCGTTGCCTCCACGTATGCCGCTGTAGTTCCCCCACTCTTTCAGGGGAGTACTGTCCCACAACTCCCCACCTTCACTACTTCTCTTGCCTCGACCACGTCTCCAGCTTCTGACGAGAGTGTCCACCACGGGTGGGCGGCCCAGGGGCAAGGGAGGTAAGGAAGGGGGGAAGGGTGGTGGTGGTGGTGGTTTGGAGGGGGTGGCGGAGGACTGTAGCACTAGTGCGTTTGGTGGAGCCGGCATTGGAGGTGGTCCTAAGTCTGCGGGCCCGACGGGAGGGGGTGCTGGAGCGGCTGCTTGGTACACGGCACAGCAGCAGCAACAGTCTCAGCAACGCAGTAGCAGGTTCAGTGGCAGGTGCAGCACCAGCCTCAGCAGTGGGGACCTGGTTAACTAGGGAGCGCTGGTCGTGGCGGTGGTCCACCCGGCGCGGCGTCGCGTGGTGTCACTTCTCCTCCTTGCCCGTACGTTGTTCAGACGGGAACTACTCAGGGTCATCGCTGTGGCCCTTTTCACCTTCCGGGTCAGTGCGTTGCGCAGCTCACGGACCGTGTCCGTGCACATTATGGCTTTGGCCCCTCTCCGGACTGGGCCCCACTTGCTCGGCCTCGTGGTCTTGCTTTGTGGGATATGACTGCGGTACAGTTAGTTGGTGCCTTGGGATTTGCTTCTGTGATGTTGGCGTTGACTATAGTGCAGCTGAATCTGTTTGCTCGCATCTTCGTAGCTTAGGATCCTTGCCTGTTACCAGTGTAGATGCTTGTGCTTCCATTCTAGGTGCTTGTCTAGCTACCAGCCCAGATGCACCTACGGTTAACGCGTCAATCTCTTTCATGCTGGACTTTGGCGCGTCTCAATGCTTCTTCCGCGACCACACGACTCTCACACCGCTTCCTGCTCCGATTCCAGTTGCACTGGCTGATCCTACTTCAAGACCAGCAGTTGCACGCAGCTCTACCACCCTCCCGTGCGTGGCTGCCCCCTCTGGTGTCCTCGCTGGGCTCCACATCCCCTCGTTATCTAGGAACTTGATGGGTGCTGGACTCCTTCAGGACCTCCACGTCGGAACCTGGTTTCCTCCGTCTGAGCGTGTTACGACCTGCGTGGACGGTGACACCTTCGCTACCCTGGCCAAGTTTCGCCCGGAGCCCCGCTCCGGTCTCTTCACACTACACACCGCAACTCCCCAGGTAGCTCCGTCTGCACACCGCGGCTCCCCAGGTAGCCCTCACCCTAGGCTCAAGAGGGAGAGCTATTTTTTTCTGAAGGTCGTTGACGACTACTCCCGCTACACCATGGTGTTCCCCCTGGCAAAGAAGTCCGACGTGACTTCTACAATGATCAGGTGGTTGCTGGTCACTGATGCCACTCGTGATAGTCGTGTCCGTTTTCTCCACTCCGATCGTGGGGGTGAGTTGCGCTCCGGCATACTTCGTGGATTCTGTAGCGAGCAATGCATCACCCAGTCCTGGACGCTTCCGGAGTTACTCAGCAGAATGGGGTTGCTGAGCGCCGCATAGGCTTGTGTCAACGGGAGTTGTGGTTGGCCCCGTCCTCGCTTGGACGGAGCCGACTTCGTAGTCGGGTGTGTGGGGAGCGCAGCCGATCTGTTGCAGTGAGGGCGCCTAGCTGGAGGGCGCCGAGCAGGAGGACGCCGACCTGGACGCCTGGACGGCGTCCTGGGAGGCTGGACGCCGACCTGGGCGCCTGGACGGCGTCCTGAGAGGCTGGACGCCGACCTGGGCGCCTGGACGGCGTCCTGGGAGGCTGGACGCCGACCTAGGCGTCTGGACGGCATCCTGGGCGCCTGGACGCCGACCTGGGGCGTCTGGACGGCGCCCTGGGTGCCTGGACGCCGACCTGGGCGTCTGCACGGTGTCCTGAGCGCCTGGACGCCGACCTAGGCGTTAGGACGCCGACCTGGGTGCTGGGACACCTCTTCTAGGGACGCCGGTCAGGTGTAGCCGGCGACCAACTGAGCTGGGCGACCAGGCGTGGTTGCCCGGTCAACCTGGATACCCGGACGACGTGTGCGAAGGTCGCCGGGGAGGCTTCTGCGAGGCCGACCTCGGAAGTGGTATCCCAAGGTCGACGTGGCTGGTAGGCGCAGTCGCTGGCGTGGACTCGACATGGACGTCTGCGCTGTGCACGTGACAAGGAGTGGTGCACCAACCAGCTGCACGCACCTGCGAAGCAGGTGCACCGTTGTCCTGCGGGTGCAACGCTGTGCAGCCGACTTGCTGCAGCGTTGGCACACCGTGGACTTGCAACGTTGGCAAACCGCTACTCTGCAACGCTGGAGCGGTGCGAGCTCTGCTGCGCTGGATCGCGGTCGACCATGCTGCGCTGGAGGTCGACCAGCAGCCTAGCTAGCTCTGATGTAGTCTGTGTTGCCAATATTGTATCAACCATTGTTGTGAACTTTTGCTAGTGGAACTCTTGCCAAATTCCCCCGTGAACCAGCAAGTAGTGGAAGCACGAGTAAACAACTCAGTGAACGAACGCAGAGATCACTCTTGCCCCGTGCCTAGCCCGTAGCCTAGCCCCCGTTGTACTAGTTATCTCCGCATGGTGCGGTGAGCGTGGACGGCACACGACTTACCTTTCAGTCAGGTCGACGTAGTGGTCACTTACCTAAGTTGCTTGTAGGCCGGCAGCCGTGCAGTCACTAGCGTTCGCGTAGGTGACACAGAGGTGATGGACACCCTGGAGGCACAGCTGGAGGATGCGAGGAGACGCCATGAGGCCCAGGAGTACGGGGCTATCCCCTGGGCGGTCATCGAGGCTGGACTCCGCACCGTGTGGGCGACAGAGCACCCCCCTTCTCGACCAGCTTCTCCTCGACCGGTGAACAACGAAGGCGGCGTCGACGTGGGCGTCAACGGCGGTGGTGGCCAAGTCGGCAGCAGTGCGGGAGGCACGTCGAGGCAGCGAGGAGTGATTCACGCCGATGAAGTCGGCGGCGTTCAGGCACGAGGGATGCAGTCGTCGGCGGCTGCAGGCTCCTCACAGGGCGACGTCGGTGGACGTCGGAGCGGTATGACGTCGATGTCGGCGACCCACGTGACAGCGGGCGGGATTGCACCGAACTACGGCTACTTCAAGTTTAGGCCGGACAGGATCTTGGTCACCCCCTTGCTGGTCGGTCGACCCGACATTCTCACCTGGAAGGAAGCCATCGAGCCCCAGCTGGAGATGGCCGGGCTGATCGGCTTCGCCCGTGGCACCGTGGCGACGCCGGAGGAGCACTACCCCGACTTGCGAGCGGAGTTTCGCGCGGTGCAGTTGCTGACCTTCACGGTCATCTCGCGGTGCTGCTCGCCGGGCGTGCAGATCGCCTTGAAGTCGTGCAGGGAGTACCTCGACGCCGGCCACCGGGCGTGGCACTTCATCGAGTCGACATACCAAATCCCCGACGACTTGTTCATCGGCCAGCTTGAGGGGCAGCTGACGCACCTGCGTATGGGCGACCAGGAGACCGCGACCGACTACTGCAACCGAGCCCGGCGAATTCTCGCCACCATAAGGATGGCCGGCGCGCAGTACTTGACGGCGCCGTACGTCACGCACGTCATGCAGGGACTCCCGAGCACCTACAACCTACTGAAGCGGTTATCAATGGCGCCGAGCACGCGTGCGACGCTCAACGAGGACACCTTGACCTCGTACATCCTGCAGGACGAGGCGATGCAGGAGGCTGAGCGGTCCCAGGAGCTCCTGGCGCAGGTGAACTACGTCGCCCCGGCTAAGCAAGGTGGTCGACAGGGGCAGCTGAGGAGGAGGTCGACGCCGGGAATGCTCGTTGTGCGGCGACCCCGACCATCTCTCCTTTGAGTGCCCCGACCGCAGTGACTCGGACGACGACGACGCCAAGGGAGGCCGAGGGAGGTCGGCTGGGCGTCGCCCTCGCCGGGAGAGTAAGCCGCGCAAGGAGAAGCAGTCGACGAAGTCGACCTCGGCGAAGGACGCCGACTCCTCTGCTGGCGGCAAGGGGCGAGACGAC